CACCTACCTTGGCCTGGGCAAACCTGGTAGTATTCCGCCCACAAGCAAATCATGGAAGCTTTTCTTTTTGATAAAGATTATAGTACCATGATTTGTTTGGCAGTCTGGATTCAGACGTGTTTTAAAAGATGAATAAACAATTTAATATGCAGCCGAAATATAAGGCCGGTAAACTGAACCTAAGTTTAGGTAAGATGATGTTAGTTGATTAATCTACGAATGTTTTATGGGTTCTTAAAATGAAGCCATCCGTCAGCACAGGCATCTACACTGATGTAATTTTTTTTCTTATCACAACTTATTGATGAAGAGCAGACGAGTTGAACCTCACGATCACGANAAACCAGCGACCTAAGCTTCGCGACTTGGAGTGGCGATCCACGTAAGGCGCCGTTAGGTTAGACATGGTACTGGACCGGACACCATTTCAAATCATTTTCTTAAGTCTCAAAAGTCTATATGGAAAGATGGTCGAAGTTTTCTAGCGATTAAACTTATCCAGAGAGGGAAACATTTGCCATAGGCAAGTTACTACTCCACTCCAAACCTCAAATACCTATGTACTGGATAAGCACGAAACAAACGACATGAATTGAACCGCTTGGACATATAATTTAAACAGGAAACAAAAACAATGGAAAATAGGATGCGCATATCTGGATAAATAAATATCACAGTACAGGTTTGTACAACTTTACACAAAAGCTAATCAGTAGCGAGACGACAATTCACCACTGAGCCGACCCTCCCAATTCACAGGAAATCGGACTGGGATAAAAAGTCGAAAATGAGGAACAGTCATTTGATTTGATACTCCAAGACTCTGCGGGTTGACTGACAGGCGGTGTCAAACGCTTTTTGTTAGTCTTCTTCCGACGCTTGCAGCGCTTTTTGCGTACTGTTTTGCTCGCAACAGGTATTGGATCTGTACTGGTGGCTGGGATATAACTTGGTACACAGCTCGATGGAACCGCACATTCATCTTCATCCTCGTCCTCCCAGTCACCCCCACGCTCCGCCAATTCTGATGCTTTAGATGGATCACAACCGCTGGAAACCAACTGACGGAAGCGCGCATAAACTCGTTCCCGAGCTTCTGTTTCCCAAACACGGTTGCGCCGCTCCAAAGACAAAGCCACAAAGTATGTGCGCATATACCGAACTGAGGAAACTGGGCTATCATCAGGAAACCGTGCACGATGCGGACATCTCGAAGAGCTATATACATCAGGTCTTATAGAGGGAGTATGGTTTTCAGATCCATAGAAGGCGGACCACTTAGCATTAGCTTCGACAATACGTTGGTAGTCACTAACCAGGTGTATTTGAGTTAAGGTGTCATTCCGACAGTCTTCGGTCTTAGTTTGAACGGTTGTAAGCACACCCTGACCGGACACTGAAACAATATGGACTGTTGGTTTTTGTACGGTAGCAGTCGCCACCGCGATTACGCCACTTACACATGCCCCGGTGTCCTCCTCATCGCCGGAGTCATCATGAGCCAATGAGGAGCGGAAAAAACTTGAACGTCCTTCGGGGATTAGATTTCTGACACCAGAAAAGACACCACTATTCGGGCTGTTTCCAGTGCTTGCACCATCTTCCCAACAGTAAAGATGAGCAAATAATTCGCGACCGTGAGAAAAACAGACCACGAACTCCTTTTGAAGGGAAACTGATGTTTTCAATACAGTGAGACAATCGGAGGATTCTCCAACCTTCGGGGGGAACACGGAGGTCTGATTGGAAGTCAAGACAACTTTTGCCACACAGTGCCGATTTAGACAAAATCCTTTCAAAACTGCCTTTATTGCTCTGGTCAAACTGTGAAGATCGCGAGGCGGACTTTTTTCTTGGACAACTAATTTGTGATACAAACGACGAAAGGAACAATGTCTGCATTTCAAAAGTCGCCAAAGGACTTCAAAGTCCTCGCTGGTAAGCAAAAGATGTGGGCCAAATCGGGCTGGATGTCCGATACACAGGGGAAAGAGCTAGAGGAAAACAAAGAAAGCAGAATAATAATCAATTACTTGGTTGCAATATAATGAACGGAATGCTAATAACCCAAATGTTCTCCTCGAAAATCACTGCTAACCTAACCGGATAACTAAGATTGATCAAATTTGGTATGATAATTCAACCCACTACCGTGAAGAGAGACTAAACAAATATCATGATTGCTACACTGATTTCTATATGAAATGCTACTAACCCCAATCCGGGTGTTATCATTTAAATGCATCCCGTAGCTGGTCACGCAAGTTGTATGGTAAAGTATCGCCTCAGATGTATTAGGCGATATTTAATTATGGAATAAGATCAAAGTTTTGTCTTTACAACCACTAGCCATTAACTTTCATGTGCCAGTTTTGTGAATCAGTGATTGCAAGTACGATAAAATAACTCACTAGAATTATTTACCATTGAGATTTCACTTATCGATACCCTTACGATTCGAGTCGGGTTCGATGGATCTATGAGACTTCGTACCCTAGAATCTTGATTTTGTTTGTTTATGATGCTTTTGGCGTCACTAAAAGTGAAGGAGTATTTAAAAGCTATATGNTATATATATATATATATATATATATATATATATATATATATATATATCTGTGTGACAAACGCCCCAGAACTAGCGTGCTCACTGGAAATAATGCAGTAGCAATCAATGTTTTTAATTCAAACTCGATCCCTTATCCAGTCTCAGCTTCAACTTCCTATCAATCTACGGGTACTTTGCACCGACTGCGACGGCATTAGCCTCTGCGATTGTGAAAAACAAATGCTACTTGTGGTTAAGACCGCCATCCACGACGCATTTGCCCTGCTACAGATGCTATTTGTGGAAACTGAGGCGGAAAGGTCACTTCAAA